TTTTATGCGTAGTAGACTCCAGAAACCAAAACAAGAAGAAAGGTGATCATTCTGGCAGAATGTGCTTTTAGATTTTTCTAACTTTAAAGTAACAATTAATATTTTTTTAAACTTTAAGCTAGAGCTTTAACATTGATCTCAGTGATTGCTGAGTTAGAAACTTGACCAGTTTCATATTTGACACCATTCTGCAGCCCTCTACTGGCCCAAAGCAGCACTACATAGTTTTGTGGAGCAGGTAGGGAGGGATCTTAAGCAGCTTTATGGCTATTAGCTGTAATGCTAGCATTTAGCATTTTCAGTTCACCGACTGTCAATAGAAAAGAAAAAGAAGACATTTGCTTTTTTTGGCATCATGGCGGAGTCTGACAGTAAAAATAAGAGAGTAATGTCTTTGGAGGCGAAGCAAAGAGCTAAAACCAGAGCGAACATCGGCGTGGCCCACACTAGTTTGAGGAAGCTAAAGTAGGCTACAAAATCACAGACTGATGGTGACCTGGCTTTGTTGCTACTGGATTTGTAATTAATAATATTTATTCTCCAACAGTGTGGATCTTTTTACTTAGTGGTTTTTTTTTTCAGTATCAGTTTGCCCCTGTTAGTGTTAGCTTGTGGTTAGCACTAGCTACAGCAAACTGCAGGTTTTTTATGACAGTTGACATGTTTGTATTTTTTACCCTCCTGTTTATTCACTCTGGTATTTAGTCAGTATTGATTTCAGATGTTGGGACATATTTGATTTTATGACATGAGTTTCTGCACCGAGGGGCTGCACAGATGATTTAACAGCTCCAGTTTGTTTGCTGGATTCAGATTCTTCAACATTTTTGCACCTGAAAATTGCAAATAATTATCTAGTTTTGCACACTATTCAAGGAAAGATTTCACAATTTAGGCACAAAAAGTCTTAATTATGTTGATTTTATCCTCAGTTTTATTTATTTATTTTTTGTTGACGTTGAAATGTCTGATTCTTTCTCTGTGAAATCAGTTGCATCTTTGTTGAATTTGTCACCAACTCCTCTCAAAGTTGTCTCATGTTTCCCACGCTTTGTGACTCGGACACTAAATTGGGAAATGTTTGAGACGGATACAAGATACCTGCCACGACTCAGAGGAAATAACTCTTGTTCCCTGCTTCTTACCTAATGACACCAGCTTCGTGAAGTCCCTCAAAGCACAAAAATTGCTTTTCTCAAATTTAAAATATAGCAAAAATATTTGCATCATTTTAGAAATGCAGAGTGAGAATTCCTTTCAGTAGCATTCAAGAAAACAGATAAACTGATTCTGACCGAATAATCTTTGTACATGTTTAATAAAACATTTACACAGATGGACATCGGAGCTCCTGCTGTTCCAGTCACTGCTCAGGTTGTGCTGAGAAAGTGACTGATTTAGAGCAGAGCTCACCTCTGGGCCCTGAGGCGCTCTGAATGTTAATATATGGCTGTCTGACATTCTGGTGCTGCAGCCACTGGACTGTGGACCTCATCGGAGAGACGGGAGGAGAGCTGGAACGAGATGTAGGAGTAGCCACAGGGCGGATGGGACAGCGAGTCCGGAGGGAAGACGTCAGAACGGAATGATGAAAGAATGGGGTTTGAAAAAATTTGCCTGAGAAGATGGAAGTCCAGAGGGACCAAAATCTATGAAAAAGACCTGAAAATGGAGGAATGGTTTTAGAAATGGGAGCTAGAATATCTGCAGGGCTTTAGGGCCTTTTGGGGTGATGGAGGATAACAACCTGCCTCAGGCCACTGGACTCTGGTCTGTACTGTGTGTGTGTGTGTGTGTGTGTGTGCGTGCGTGCGTGCGTGCGTGCGTGCATGTGTGTGTGTTGAAGTGATTTGCATAACAAAGTTTCCTGCAGAGCTAGAGGTCTGCATATGTTTACCTCCACCTTCGAACATCTCCAGAAAAGCAGCTCCAAGTGAAAACAACCATTAGTGACAAACTAAAATACACCGTTACTGTTCACAACAAGCAGCCTGTTAAATGTTTACCTCTAAAAACTTCATTTAAATTAAGTTAAAAGAAGTTAAAAGAACTTAACTTTTCTTTGGGGGGGGGGGGGGACTCAAAGTAATTAGTCACATTTTTAGCTGGAATGTAAAATTCTCGACAAACTGAAATATTAAACCCCATCACCATCTGCTGCCAAGAGCAATTAGCTGATTTTAAAGAGGCTCAATTTTACATGACCTGCATTTTATATAGTGCCTTCTAGATGTCACGTTGAGGGTGTGGATGACGGCGGACCATGTGTGGTGGAGCAGATCAGGAGGCAGGAATGCAGGCACGGATGAAATAAAAGTAGTTTTAATGGCAGAGCGGGAACGACAGAACAATAAAAACACTGACAACAAACAATAATCCGACAAAGACCGATACAAGAAGGGAGGTATAAATACACAGGGGAAAATCAGGAACACATGGGCGGATTAACACGGGGCAGGTGAGATCAATAAAGACTAATCAGGCAGGAGAGAGACAGTCAGGGAGGCAGGGGCAGATTGTGACAGTACCCCCCCCCCCCCCCCCCCCCCCAGGGCCGGATACCAGATGCCCACAAAGCCACATAACACTGGAGACTTGGGACACTTGCACTTGGGAACCGGAACACTTGAGACGTCGACTCGGGAAACAGGAACACTCTGACTTGGAACCGGAACACTCGGACTTGGAACAGGAACTGGAACACTCGAACTTGGAACACTGGAACTCAACAGCAGCAGGCGCGGGACACTGGAACTTGAACACAGGACACTGGACCTCGACAGCAGCAGGCGCAGGACTCTGGAACTCGACAGGACACTGGGGAACATGAGCACTCGGACACTGGAACACTTGGACTCGAACTGGAAGACTTGGACTTGAACTCTTGGACTCGAACTCGGTAACTGCAGCAGCCGGCGTGGGACCCTGTAGGGACTGCAGCAGCAGGCGTGGGACCCTGTAGGGACTGCAGCAGCAGGCGTGGGACCCTGTAGAGACTGCAGCAGCAGGCGTGGGGCCCTGTAGAGGCTGCAGCAGCAGGCGTGGGACCCTGAAGAGGCTGCAGCAGCAGGCGTGGGACCCTGAAGAGGCTGCAGCGGCATAACTCTGAAGAGGCTGCAGCATGGAGGACCTGCAGGCATAGGCCCTGCAGGAGTGGACCAGGAAGAGGATGAACTGCTGGAGCGACGCGAGGAAACCCAGCTCGGTGGCAGGTACTCGACAAACGATCTGAGCAGGTGCACATCACGATACGCTGGGTCACAGGCAGAGGCTTGGGTGCAGGGAAGCAGAAGAAGGAGCGGGGAGACCAGCCCTACCACCCCGGAGAATGTTGGTGTGCGTAGGGGGTGTAACTCCATCCAAGCTCCAGGATCTGCGGCTTCCGTTGGGAAAAAACAGGACGGGGCCGAAAGCAGGAGAGGAGAATGGGTTCGACCACCCCGGGAACAGGTAGGATGCGCCGAAACCCCCTCAATGGGTCCGACCACCCGAGAAACTGGTAGGATGCGCCGAAACCCCTTGAGTCGGAATCTCCCTCCGCTAAATGGAGAAAAAGCAAAAAAAGTAATCCTCCAGGCCAGGGGTGTCAAACTCACACTCACACGGGGCCGAAATGAAACTCTGGGCCAAACTTAATATTTTTTGAAAAAGTGACGGCAAATTTGCACATTTTCTTTATCAACATGTATGCAATTTTGAATCTTTAAATTTGGAAACAAACATATTTCTGCATTAACACTGAATGTGGAATAACCAAATTACACACGAGCAAGTCAGTTTTAAATAAAAGGCATCAGTGGTATTCATTACTTGTGGTATAATCAGCATTTTTAAAATCTATTCAGGATTTATGTTTTCTTGTTTATTCATTTTTCTTATTTTTTACTCTCCTTTTTTCTCCTGTAATACGTGTCATCGCTGCTGTGACGTCTAGCTTTCCCCACTGAGGAACAATAAAGGGATTTTCTATTCTATTTATCTATCTGCAGCCTTTCCACTTCCTTTTTTTACTATAGGTTAAATCTTTTCTCACGGGCCAACAACAAAATAAAAATATCATTTTATCTTAAATGAAAATGCAACATCTCACCTGTTAACTTTCATGTTTTGGAGCAGAAAACGAGCATAAAACCAACATATTTAAAGCTCAGTTTGCTCCACTGGTTTACTGTGATACTCACCTGTTCCAGCCAGATACCTGCTTCATGGGGTTGATCTGAGCTGAGGAGACTCCTGTTGTTTTGTTCATCTTCATCATAATAATGACAACATTAGATGACAACAGGTGCTCATATAGGTTTGTGCTGATGAACATGTCTGAGCAGCTTGACCGCGCTGTTGTGTGTCGGGGAGGAAACACAACGACAGCAACCACAGAGTCATGCTGGTTTGAGCGTGTCGCTGCTCGCTGGAGTTATATCAGCTCTGTCTGGACGTTAGTTGGAAAACTTTCTCTTTCAGTCGTGAACACATTACTGGGCGGTTAAAATCTCAGTTTCTGGGCTTCAATGTTGGAAAATAGCTGTGTAAACTCGGCGCTGAGTGAGAGGAGTGTTTAGTTTGTCCGAGACAGCAGAGCTGCAGACACTGGCAGCAGGCGCTGGAAAAAACACAAAGGAGGGGGCGCGTCGGCTCCGCGCTAGCGCCGCAAAGCATCATGGGATTTGAAGTCTTTGCAGTAAAATCGTCCAGCGGGCCAGTTTTAATATATTTTTGATATTTATCTCGCGGGTCACATAAAAATGCTCCGCGGGCTGCATCTGGCCCGCGGAGCATTTTACAGCCTGGTACAAAGAACCGCCCATCGGGCTTCAATTCAGCTGTTCAGAAATCTACGGGTGACGGAGCGGAGGGTCTGTCCATCCAAGTGAATTAGACCTTTAAGTCACTTTTCCTGTCCTGTTTAATTTGATAACTAAATTATGTTCAGGTGTATTTTATCCTCTCCCTGTTTTTCCTCCTTTCTTCTGACTCTTCCTCCTCCTCCTCCTCCTCCACAGGCGGACGTTCGCTCCAGAGAATACCTACGTGTCCACTTCCCTGCTACGCAAACGTGAATCAGATTCTGAGGTGAGCGACACGACATTCACACATGTGGATCCCCACACACAGACACAACTGTTGTCTAAACTCGATGTGACAATCTTCTGTCGCCGCAGCGATTTACAGCCTCAGAATAGGCTTAACAGCCACAGTGAGTGACTCATCCAGGACTTTTCTCAAATCCCAAAGTAAACCACTGCATACTGGTGGAAATACTTAACGTTCTGATTTAATTTAGTGATTAAATCGAGCAAATTTACCAAAGAGGAGGGTAAACACGAGACATCTTCAGATACAGTTTCAGAACTTCCTAGATTGTGCTTTTGTTGCAAGTGCATGTAGTGACGGATGAGGTTCAAAGCCTGTAAAATAACAATTGTTAACATTAGGGAGGTCAGCGGAAGCTCAGTTTTGTGAGCTTGATCCGGCTTCTCACCAGGAACAGTGATTGATTTAGTCCTGCTGACGTGTGGTGGGAAAGTTTAGGAGTTTAGGAGCTGCTGACAGGTTCTCCGCATCTTTAGAGTACAGAGGATGGAGCAAAGGCGATCCAAGAACACCTCGGGTTAACCAGAGATACTCCGGCGGTTAAAGTAAGGAGAGGATAAGCTGACAAAAAAAATCTTGATCCTCATCTGAAATAACCGGCTTTGCTGCCGAGTTTGACCCTACCTCCCTAATTACCGATGAAAGCTTCTGACCATTAATGTGCTCGGATTCTTCAGAAATCTCATCGCCATTCAGCCTCAGATCCCAAGAGTTCTCAGACATGCAGGGAATCAAACCTTCAGGAGAGGAGAGGAGAAGTGCTCAATCACACATACAAGGATGTACGTGATCTTAAATCTCTCAATAAATGGGTGCATCGGTGTGGAAGCTCACAGACACGATGAATCCTTGCTTCATGGTTTTTGATCAGCCACTCCACAGAGATTCAGACAGAGGGAGAGGCTTTGTGCTGAGTTGGCAGGGCTGCAGCAGGTACCCCCTAGCATCATCCCGCTTTAGTTTCAAGCAGACCTGCGGCTCCTTAGCATGAAGATTCTTTGAAGGTGTGATTGACTGCAAAAACATTGTTTTATGTTTTTTTCTGATTGTAATTAGTCACTCTTGAGTTTTCATGCAGGCTGAACATGAAAACAGTCTCCTACACCTACCTCCTGCATTATCTTGTGATAGAAAATAGATGGTGAAAGGCTAGGATGTGAAAATCCTCACAGGTCTTGTCACACTGTGAATTAGCATTCATAGGCTCACCCATTTTGACTTACGACTGACAAGGCTGTTGTTGTTTTAATGTACAGGAATTAGCTGCAGACGCATTGGTTAGTTTAAGCTAACCGTTAGCATCAGCAACTTCCCTTCAAGGCAGAAGTCCTCATGGCTTGTCTTATGTGTGGTGATAAAACATCAACATTGCAAAGCAGAGTCAGTGGTAGAGTCATGTTTCTGTTACCCAGTCCAGGGCGAGATGTTCAAATATCAGGAAATAAGAATTCTGTCGTCAGAAGCTAAGCTGTGATGTCGCAGACTTGTTCTGCTGAGACAGGGGTTTGGGCCCCGAGTTCTGCCTGCAAGGCATTCATTCCTTCTAGAGACCACAGCAAATGAATTGATTAAACGAGTATTCAACTCCTTTAAACTGGGAATTAATGTTCCATTGCGACTATAATTAGGTGAGGGTGAGATTAAATCATCAGGTGTGTCTGTTTGACACATTTAGACGTATTTGTTTGGAAATTTTTTATTTAAATTATTCAGAAAATAAAGCTAAAGATTAAATATCTATGTTAGTATGTTATTATAAATAATAGAATTAAGATTTTAATCAACTTTTAACGGGATACTTTGCAACTTTTTAATATTTTTAAATAAATTTCTTGAGCCAGTATGAACTAAAATGACCTTTTACAGGTTTCTGTCCTTTTCCTTGTTCATCTGCAAAACCCAGCCCTACAACCAGCCGAACACTCACTTTTTTCATAGTTACAGCATGAACGTATTTGTCTCAGCATCTCTTTTCAACTTCAGATAACTGCATCCATATGCCTTTGTTCCCTACCGTGCCTTAGGTGCAGTTATTATAAAATAATCATTAAGGGGGCACGGGGGGTCCATGCTTGCTGTTGGAACCACCCTTACCACCAGTAATTAACCAACAAGACCAAAAGTATTTGCAGGAATATTTTGGAGCCATTGAACTTTAAAAGATTGGTCGTCATTTCTAAACTGTCTGGCTGAACCGACTGTGTTCAGTCAGGGCCGGAGTGGGACACATTTTCAGCCCTGGAGTTTCAGACCCCAGACCGGCCCACTTAACGAATTATTATTAAAATCATGTTAGAACTTTATATGTATAGTCTACAAAAGCACACTACTCGGTAAAGCCTTGTAATTGTAAAGCAAGAAAGAGTTGAAAGAGTTGAGTTGCTTTACAAGATAGAGCAACTCTTTCTTGTAAAGCAAGAAAGAGTTGCTTTACAATGTAGGTTTATTTGAACATCAGTGCACATCTCCAACATTGTTCTTTACAACACATTCTCTAACAATATAACAATCTACATTCTGTTCAAACAGCTGTTCTGAGATTTTCAAATCTTTAAAATGAAATGACTCAGCACTCCCTTTCACACTTTTTCCAGTTTCCCTAGACTCACCTGCACACAATTAAAATAATCATCTGTAAAGCTTTAGCACATTTGATATGGAAAACACATCTTTGTAACCAATTAAAATATTTTCTATGGCAAAATATGCAGGCTTATTTCATTTTACTTTCATTCTAATAGCGATCTGTTGTGGGCTTTGTGCATTTACAAACAGAAATACATCAGGTCACTACTATTATTTGGACATTAAAATTATTATAATGAAACTGATGTTTGCTTGTTTGCACATGAGTTGGCTCACTTTCTATCCCAACAGGAGCAATACCCTCACTGCTGGCTCCTGGCTCTTCTTCTGACACTACATTGTGTGAAAATTGTCACAATTCAGCATTCATTTTCCTTTTTTACACGCTTTCTGATCAATGCTGAATCATCTAGCATTTTAGAACACGTTCATATAGAGCCAGGATAGTTTTCATCATATAAATTTTAATAATATTCAGTTCACTGACTCAATAAGTAATCCTACCTGTACATGCCCGCTCTGGAATTGTGGGTTTCTGCCTGGTGCTTATTAGGCCTACTGGATCTTGTGGGCTACAAGACAGTTTGGTGGCATCAGTCACATCATACTGTAAATTATATTACATAACGTTATGTCATGATGCCATATAATTCATTATTGATGCTTAATTAACTTGAATGGTGATTTGCAGCTGGTAAAGTTTAACATCTTGACTTGCCTTACCCGTTTTATCTTCATTTGAAGTTAAAGACCGCGAGCTTGTTTGAGAAAAAAAGGTGCTCATTTTTGCACATTTAGCTGCATCCAGGGCCAGATTAAGACTTCGTTGTACCCTGGGCAACAATATTCAAGGGCTCCATCATCACGACCCAAGGATCACCATAATATGGTCACAGAATATTTTACTGTAATATGCAGTAAATATAATGCTTGAATGCCTGACATCACGTAACCCGCTCAGGGTAACCTTTGACCCACCTCGTGTGGACTGACCAATGAGGAGAGGGTCTTAACTTGAGGCCCTCTCTTCATTGGTCAGTCTGCATGAGACTGACTCTCAACTGACGTTCAGTCATAGGCAGCAAAGCGTCTCTGTGCAGCGCAAAAGCCCGGGTGGACAGTTTGTTTAATGTAGGGTGACCATATTTCCATTTCCAAACAAGAGGACAGGGATCTGTGCCTATGACGTCACACTATGGCAACGCCACACAAACCACGTTGGGACCCATTTTTTTGTAAGAACTAAATTAATATCAGATTCTGCCAATAAAAGGGCTCTACAACAATTCATATGTAAATATTTAGCATATTTATTGCAAAATCTCATTTTTCTGCTTTAGTGCTGCAACAAGGTTTTAATAATAATAAATTATTATACCTTTTGTTTTACTTCAGCATTGGTAAGCTTCCTGTGCACAGATTATTAAGGGTGCTTGTTTCAGCTGTGAGATTAGATGATAGGATCAATGAAAAAATAAGTTGTCACACACTCCATGGAAACTTTCAGAGAATCCACAAATAGTGGCTTTCAAACGGTTTTGTTTCTTTTTGCAAGTTTTTAAAAGCAGCAGATGAGACAGCATGTCTGATAATTTAGTTTTTCATCTGATAATATTAGAACATGTCAGTAATGTCTGAGGAGCTTTTATAAACACTGTATAACTAACATTACTGGAGAGGGTAACAATTACACAGAGGCTTCTGGGGAGCCCAGTTATGGGGTGGGTGGGTGGGTGGGGGGGGGGGTCATTTTGCCTTGGCCCCCAAAATGTCTTGAAACGGCCCTGGGTGTGTGACTGAGTTTTGAAGGTGATTTGAATTGTATCAGATGTGTAAATATGACATGTGTATAACTTATTGTTTTATACTGGTAAAAACTTGTAGTGGAGATAAATCTACCTACATTTTACTTTACACTTAGTTTTGTTTTCTTGTTTTTATTGAACTATTTCCTGTCCTGTCTGTCTCTCATCTGCGTCTCCTCTAAACTCTCCAGAAAAAACTGCTGCCAGGATTCTTACTTTTTCACCTCATCAGTTACTTTTGAGCAGATCAAATGGATCTCCTGACCGCAAAGCGGAGTGCGCCTTTCGATGCTGCGTCAGTGAGGTGACATCACCGCAGCACCGCGCAGCACAGGTGATGAGCTGCGCAGCAGCAGAGCGCTTCAGGCACAAATAAGACAGAAAATAGAGAACATGTGCGGACATGAACGATCATGTGCTAATTATAGTTTTTTGGTTGCGCCACTTTGAGAATGGACCGTGCGCTGGACGCAGCTGCCTGGATCGCTGCGCAATAACGCGCTGTGCCGCTCTTTGTGCTCTCTGCTCAGAAGAGTCCATAAATGATGTAATATAGATAGAAAACTTGTTTCCGGCTCCCCTGGATGT